AAAGGATGGTATTACTTTGAGAAAATGAAAATGTTGGTTTACTTTTTGATTTCCTGTGCTGCTTAATTTTCAATAATAACATAAAAAAAAAAAAAAAATTAAATCTGTCTCTTATACACATCTCTTGTTTACACTTTGTTTTTTGTGATTTGTTTGTTCTCTATCTGTTGTTTTGACACTGCGCCTTGAGCACCAATTTTTGGTGGTGATGTTTGCGCTTTAAAAATCGTTATTATTATTATTATTAGTCCAATATTTTTTAGTATTGTCAAATTTATTAGGTTTCCGAAAATCTATGCCAAGAGTAGCAAGCGCCAGCGGGCGCAGGCCGCAGTTATAATTTTCTGAATCAAAATAGTCCCGATAGGCAAATCAAATATTGTCAGGGCTCTTTTTCCCACTTTTAATGTTTATTATTATTTCGCATTTTTTTACTTTTATGACATAAATTGTTTAGCCTCATTTTGTCTGTATTTGAAATTTTTATTTGTTTAAATGTTTTACTGCTTTTATATTCTTCTCCCACCCCCCCACCAATCTTTTTAAAATTTAATTTGTATTATTAAATAATAATAATTATTGTTTATTATTATTAATTATTATTATTATTTTATTTATTATTTATTTGTTATTATTATTAGTTATTATTATTATTATTATTATTATTATTATTATTATTATTATTGTTAACGATATTATTGCTGCTGCTGCTATTTAGCCTCATTTTTACCGTATTTAATCGTAGTACACTTTCATGTTTATAATTAGTTTATTTTTTTCGCGTTTTTACTTTTATGACATAAATTGTTTAGGTCTTGACTTATTTCTGTTTTGACTTATTGCCATTCTGGTCAAAAAGTGCTGCCGTTTTGGTTTTTTGTCATTTTGCTCAATACTGTTTTGACATTCCGTTTTGGTTTATTGCCGTTTTGTCCAGAAACCAAATAGAGTGATTCAACTTTATAAAATTGAGTGGTTAAATGTAGGCTAATAAATAGAATTGCTTGCCAGCTACAATATTGAATTATTAAACATGAACTTTAAAAATAGTTTGTGGTATGTGGTAAGTCAGTCTAGACTTTGGAATAATTAATTGAATAAAAGCACAAAACTGAAACTAAAATAATATATCTTCAATAAATATCTCATGCACTATGTTATGAAACGGAAAAACATACTATGTCTATCTATTGGGGACACAAGCCTTTAGTCTTAGAGAGCTACTCTATCCCCTGATTTTCTTGTTTATTGTTTTTGTTGTGCTTGTAGTTTTTATAGTAAATTTTATTTTGGTCATTTTTTTCGAACACATACTTTCTTTTCAAATTGTTTGTAAACTTGTACTTTGTTCATTCTTGTGTTTCTCTGTTAAAGGAGTAAGTGATTGTATTCTCTTTAATTGGCTCTAACCATTGTTTATCATGTAAATTGTGGTTGGGTAAATAAATGAAATCAAATGAAGTTGTTGAATTGATTTTGCTGTATTTTAGTCCTTGTTTTAATGATGCAAACCAATAAATAAACAAACAAACAAATCAACATAAATTTATTTAGAAAGCTCAAAAGTATAGGTCTGCCACAACAACAACAAAAAAAAATCAAGACATCAAATACCGAAATATAAATTTGAACTACGTACTGTATATAAAAAGCACGTTATAAACTTTCAATAACTTACTGATATATAATTTTTTATGTTTTACTATGAATATCTTTAATTTGCTGCCAGAAATTTAAGGGTATATGAACAATTAACTTCTTAATTGTTTGTTTATAATTGAAGAGGAAATTTCTTCCTCATTTAAATTTCTAGTTGAAAGCTAATATTAATATTAACTTCATTGAAATAAATTTAGTATTAAACATAGTAGATTTAGGTGGGAATATATCTGTAATAATAATTTAATATTTTAACTAAAATAGAGATTGTATTGGCCGGAGGTAATGTTCTTAATAGAAGACGCATTCATAATTTCCATTTTAAATTTAAAATAACAGGATAATAAATAAGATAAATTATCATTACTTACATATTACTGATTATTGAGTATGCTGGAACTTAATCTTATTTGCAATTTATTTTTATCTCCTCTTTTTATACTGTAATAATTTGTATATTTTGAAAATTTCAAATTCTTAGGTTGGTCAATTATTTGTTAGGAGACAGGATGTGTATATTGATTAACTGACCAGACTGATTAAGTAGTTGATTGAATGATTGGTTCAATGGGTATAAATTGATTAATTAATTCATTCATTTGGTTGATTCAATAGTTACCTTAATATTTCTATTTAAACCATATATAATTAGGGTGATGGTTCAGATCATCAATACTGGCAAGATAGGGGCCCACTTTCTTTGACTGACTCATTGGTTAATTTTTGATTGATTTATTAATGACTAATTACCATAAGAAAATAATAATTTAAGGTAGTTAACAATATGGCACAAAAATCCAGAATTAAAATGATAACAGTGCCTTCTGTCTCTTATACACATCTTATTATTATGTGTGTAACATTTTGATTAGTTTTGCAAAGGAGAAATCCAAGCATGAAATGGGTTTCTACTATTACTTCATTTTCATTTGACATAAAATCTTACTTATGCCAATTTAAAAGGGTATAACACACTGCTATTAATATAAAACAATCTGGACAACCTGAGAATTTCTTGCTTGATTGTCTATAGAAATTTAAATGTGTGTTGTGTTTATGCTACGTGAACATACTATATCCCAAAGGGTGAGTGGGAGTAAAAGCCATTTAGCATGATAAACACATTTTCCAGAAAATGTAGTATGGTAATTGGCCAAAAACCATATGTTTTCCTCAAAATTACAAATTAAAATGTTACTTTTAACATCCAAATACAACCCATAAACATTCCTATTAGAGGATGACCAGGCTATTTTCTGGATTTCTTCATTATTTTCAAAATATCTTCAATAATGTTCATATAATTTTACGTTGCACACCTGGAATGTTATATTATGGGTTTCATAAAATCAATCAGTCAATTTATCAATTTTAATCATTGATTAGTTGACTGATTATTTTTAATGGATATGTGCACAGTAGTAACATTTTAAAAATATTTATCTTTTCTAATTCCAACCATACATACATTTTTGTCAATTTACAAACACATTCCTGATATAAAATTTAAAAAAAAAGAAAATAGGACTTTACCTCTTGGTTGTTGCTGTTGTCTACTTGCATTTCTTCTGTACTCCCGGCCTAAAAAAAACCCCAAATTTAAAAAAACTGATAACAACATTTAATTAAGAATAAACAAATTTCCGTCAAACTAAAAAATAAAAATGCCAGTGTTTAAATAGTTCGCCTCTTCTGTATACCACTTCACTGGCACACCTGATTAAGCAAGCATAGACTGCTGGTGAAATCTTGTGCATTAAGTTATATAAAGTAGTTATATACTGCAGTGCTACCAGTATTTCATTATATAGAGATTGCATAGTTCTTTCAGACGATGGACACAAACATTTCTGATCAAAACATCATCATCAAATGATCTGCCAATTGGCAGGTTCATACAGTAGCAACCACTTCTGTCATCACTCTCGATCTAAAGCCGCTGCCTTTAGCTGTTTGTATGCGTTAAAACATGATACACATCAATGCAACATTAGTGTAGGACAGAATAGGAAAAACTATTTAATTTCATATTATTATTATTATTATTTGCAATATTTAAAAAATAAAGTAAAAAAATATACCATAATACCATAGGAGCCAATAATCTTTAGAGCAGCTAAATGTTGCCTTACTCTCAGTTTTCATTTTACTTTGCTGACTTTCAGAGGCAATTGGGAAACATTATGAACATACTATATAATTTTCATTTAAGAAAATAATTGACTAGTTTTCTTTCTTGAAAAAATTACAGATTAATGTACTGTACATTATATTGATTAGTATAAGATGGCCACACTTTTTTTTTCAATACTGATGATTTTTATAAAAGGATTTACTGTATATTTACAACATTGGAAAACTCATCTTTTTTAGGTTGGACCAATGTGTCTACAAAAATTACAGATTAATGTACTGTACATTATATTGATTAGTATAAGATAGCCACATTATTTTTTCAATACTGATGATTACTATGAAAGGATTTACTGTATATCTACAACATTGGTCAACTTATCTTTTTTAGGTTGGATCAACGTGTCTACAAAATAATTTAAGAAGCTATTATGTAAGCTTGAAAATGGCAATAAGTGACTGGACCTAAAGCAAAAATGAAAAAGGCAATAACGTAGAAGCAGCAAAAAACTAGAGTATGAATTTGTCAACACAGGGATAATACTGCAAATGTTTTAAACTAATTCATAACCACTATTTAGTAAAACGTGCATTTTACATACCCCTTGGTACTAAAGAATATTTTTTAATTGAAAAATTTGTAAACTAGATTATGTGTCTGGTTGTGTACCTTCGTACGTTGTCCGTGTTTTGTGTGCCGCTTAACAAGGCAGACGATTGATCATAGACCATATGCCTGGCTATTACGTAATTAGTCAACAAAATGAGGAGTGATTTGTGGGAATCGGGTAATTTAACTAGAGGTACAGTAATAGAACGAGAGAAACATCATCAGTTGGTTTTTGGTACTGCGCTGAGTACTACACTCGTCCAGAGAACTACAATTACAAGCACATTCAAACAGTTTGGGGTACCACGTGCTTGCCCAGAGAAATCTAGTCACACTGTTTTTTCCGCATTCGCATCTAGCCTGGGAATTTCCCTACCTCATGATTGTTGAATGAGCGAAATAAAAAACAAACAATACAACACACATAGAATAATTACATGTTTAATATTATTACTTTAAAAATCAGACTTTGCAGTTATTATATTCGTTTGTTCATGACCTCATTGATTTTGTAGGTCTTTTCGTAAAATCGATGATTTGTAAAATTGACATTCGTAAAATGGATGTTTACTGTACCTTTGCATAAAAAGACCAAGGGCTACTAAGCCAGTAAAAGTTAAAACAGAAACTTTATTATGACCAATAACACAGTACTGTACTGAATTTTTATATGGTGACTTGTTTGTATCACAAATACTGCTGTCATTACAGTACTACTTCTACTAGTATTATATTACTATAGTGTTCATGATTTAGTTATTTAAATACAGCTAGCGCATTAAAGTTAAGTAAAAGGTTTGTCAAAGGTTTTAACTTTTGTTTTATACAGTAGTTAAAATTTCATTTATTTTACATCCTAAAGCTGTGGCCTCCTTTAAAAATTAAAATAAAAGTGATCATGCTTCTCTGCAGTTTATTATATTTTTACCCTTTTACTGTTACATCTTGGTTAAAAATTCTATTTTCACTCAAAAGTAGTATTACTAGCTTAGCCTACATCTTTTCTAGGGCCAGGCATATGACTGTATGTATGATGTAGCAGTTATTATACTCTAGCCTACTACTGCTGTGCTGTCCTAACTAGCCTTAACTAACTCCAGAGCAATTTCTTAAACACAATTTTAATCTCTTTTTTTACATACAAACATGAATAAGTGAATCAAAGTGAAGTCAAAGCCTATGAATAATTTTTAAAATACAACCATTAGGCCTAGTGTAAGTAGTTAATGGCATACATATAACCCGGCGCCGCCTACCACGGAAGTGGCTAGAGTAGTAAGATCGGTTGTGTAGTGTACTATTATTGTGAAACATGTTGGGGTGTGGAGGCTATGGTTAGACTAGTAGAGGACGACACAGCAAGAGGCCTAAGTTTTTACGCACCTCTGCCAGCTGCTTTACAGTCATTTTCTTCCATGGGTCCGCTAGTTGGTACAGCGGCATCTTTGAATGCGCCCCGAGAAAAATGGTGACAATCTAGTGCGAAACAAAATCTAAATCTGGAGTTATTCCACTATGTTCCTCCCACCGGACCTCTTCCGGATGTGTCAATAGAAAATGGCGGAGAACTTGTACCGTTGATAGATGGGATAGACAAAAGGTGGGTGGTGAAGCTGGTAGATGGCGTGCTATGAATTGTGGATGATAACAAAGGTTGTCTCTTCTAGTTTAAATTTAATTCTGCCTATGCTTTCTGGTTTTTTTAATACCTTAAAATCAAAATCACGATTTTGTATTTAAAAAACGCTTGTTTTAACAGTTCACTACTCATATAGATCTGGATCCCTGTAGAAAAAAAAAAACTAAATAATGTGATCGATAGAATATGCCTATCGGAGGCCTATTATTATATATATTTTTTCTTTATTTGGAAACGACACTTTTGCAACCACAGTGGCACTGTGATTTATAATAAATAACAAGTTTAGTCTTTGCAATGAAACAAAATAAAACCTATAGTGTAAACACTGTTTCCTAGCAACCAGGAAGTGCGTGCACAAAAGGGAAGCGCGTTTGCTACTTTTTATAACATTTTGGTAATTGACGCGCGTGCGCCTGATAATAGTATAAGTAGGTAAGTGTGATATCAAACACTTTTTCCAAAGCAATTTATAATTTAATTAGTAAAGTTCTTGCAAGGACGATTTTTTTTTTCATAACGAGACTTACGGCAGTAGTCCTCTGCAGATTTACGAAGTTGTAACCGTAAACGTAACGCATATCTCTAGGCCACTTCAAAAGTTATCTATGGCGAAAAAATCCTCTAAAAATTTCATAAATATTTGAATTGAAAAGATTACACAGTTACCTCCAGACACAGGTTAATGTTAATGCTAATCTGCTGAAGAGTTTGTGGTAAGAAAAATGTAAAACAGTATTTGAACCGCTTTCTATTTGAAATAGTAATGTTGATTGTGTTCGTGTTTAAACAGCTCGGTCTATCTTTGAGCAGTAGTTTATAATGGCAACCTCACATTGAAAATATAACTAAGGAGTGTAATTCTAAAATATTTTTTTCTTAGGCAAATAAAACGTTCAGGTGTTCATTGATTTCTATAAACAAGTCATTAGACTTGTAGTACTGTATTAGAATACGCAGTACCAGTGTGGGGCATGAATCATTATTACCAAGGACAAATCTTTCCAATTTCATCTAACTCTAGATGGTCCTGTTAGATGGTCCTGTTAGTTATTCCACTCATCGTAAGAAGGGACCCTGTGCAGGGGATAATAATTCACTCAGGTTAAATACCTGGAGCAGGGAGGTATTATAAGTAAACTATTACTATACTTCAGAGCATGTACTTCATAATATCAATAATAATAGCAATATCAACTGTAAGTTCGAGCTCCTAGAGAGTTTCCCCAAGTCAGAACAAAATGAATCATGGGGTATTAGCGGGGGTATTTGCCAAGTGAAGTCCCCCTCTGTGAGTTCCGGCTCCCCTCACCCAAAACTCCTATAGGCTTTATTCAGTACTCGGTATTTTGTTTATTTTTATGTCTCCTTTATTCATGTACCCCTTCTTTTTTAGTGTTATGATTGTTGTATTGTATTTTTTCCCTTCAATTTTACATTTTCCTTTTGTGTTTTTAATGTTGAAATGTGTTCTGCTTTTACTGGTGTATTTTAAACATCTTTAATATTTTTATCTTAAATTTTTTATGTACAGTATTTCATTCCCTTTGCATTATATTTTAGTGTGCTGTGATAATGTCCTTACTAAGTCGAGTGTCTACCCTGTTTGCCAAGTGGCAATGGTTACCGTAGGTGATACTTAATAAATATTGTGATCAGGGGTGGCGCCAGCGGGGGCCGGGGGAGGCAGAGCCCCCCCCCCCGTCGGGGAGAAAAAGCACAATTCATCGGGGAGAAAAAAATTATATGTATTTTCTACACATTATTAGTAGACTCTAAAATCAATTAGATAAGCCTTTGAAACCCCTAAATTGGACCACTTTTGAAACATTTTAATCGAAGCTCGACCACGCCTACATTGCTTTCGTCGGGGAAATCTGACCCGTCGTCGGTGGCATCGGCCCCTCCGTCGGGGACCTCGCCCCACCTCCCTCTCCCCCGTCGGGCAAATCCTGGCGCTAGTGTTTTCAGCAGTGCAATCATTACACAGCGTAGCTACCCTAGCTGTCTCCAACGAAATCGAGGAAACGCGCCCTGATTCGGCCAACTAATCAGCGCAGCAAATTACACAATGATAGCTTGTAGTGATGTTATGGAAACAAAGCTTGATAAAAACTAACAGTCCCGATGGCGCTTCTAAGAAACGGCAATCCATTTCACAGTGACAGGTAGTAAATTTATCATTTTCTTCTTTCAAAAGTCTGAATTTGAATTTATTGAAGATACATCTACGATGGATGATTTTACAAAAAAAACAAACCAAAACATGAACATTCTCAATATTTGAAAAACTTCCTTTGCATATGAAGTGAATTATTAGCTTTCAATTTAAAGTAATGAGAAAAAACTAGGCTGCCTAAACTACTGTCCTTACATTTCTTCTTTTCTGCAGACCCTTAAATTAGCTAGTATAAAACAAATTAAATCATCTTCAGAGCTTTGTGTAAATAACTTATTTGACCTTGAAAATGAGTGATATATTTTTGTTATTTATCTATTATTAGACATTATATCTTTTATAATTACTGTGGATTTTTCTCTGAACAACACATGTATGATCAAGTTAACAAACACAAGACACCAACTGCAATAAATAAAAGCACAGTTTTATTGGTCAAAAATACACCGACTGTGCTAACTTATATGGCACAGTCACATAAAAGGGTTATGTTTAATGTGCAAAAAATGTGCATTGCTACTCTTGCCTATTCTCAACAACTCGCTTAACTTGGGGGCGCTAGTGCAGCTAAATAGGGAGTAAAGCTAATAAAGAACAAATTTAGAAAGGCACATTGCTTTAAAGAAAACAAGAATTTACTACAATATTGCAAGCAATTTACGAAATTCGAAACGCTGAAAATTGTTACTGGACTTTAACTCTAACAAATGTATTATACTTCAATTTCTAAGCCAATTGGATCTTTTTTGGCTGGCCCTGTTGCTTTGTAAGCATAATTACCTCAAAATAAATCTGCTTTAATTACTATCGGTGTTGGATCTGTCATCGTAGTCGTGTTACTACGAAAAAATTATCTTCAAAATAATCGATAATTAAATTAAAATTCCAATACATTGGAGTTGTTCCACAAAAATAGTTTTTCTTTTGGTCTAAAAATAATTAAATATTTATGTAGTGTTTTAGTTTTCGACTATCGAAAATCATATAATCATAAATTTCTTTCTATAATTCATAATTTCTTTTCAAAAAAAGAATGAAAGGGTAAAACACCTATATCAATAGGCACATAGAATCACATATAAATTAGCATTGAAGAGTATTTCTTGAATGGTAAATGTGTAAAATCATCAATAAATTCAAAAAACATGTCCAAATGATTTGCTGATAAGGATCTGAGAAAGTAAAATGTGATCTCTGAAAACACTAACGATGGAAGAAAAAATTCTGTAGATAACTTTATAAAACAAGCTAAAAATTGGGTTGACAGAATTTTATGGGTTTTAAAAAAATGTAAATTACAAATTCAATTGGTAAATTTAACTAATGTTTCCTCAGAACAAAAACTTGTGCTATTATTTAAAAAAATAATATCTTTTTTGAAGAACAAGAAAATGTGTCCACATATTTTGGAGTGAACTTCTTTCGTAGATGCACCTCATCCTTTACTAATGCAAAAAGACCCAGCTTTGCAGGTCTTTAACGATACAGCACAGACATACTACAGTACAACAAAGCAACGTTAAAGAGAACAATGCCAATATCATGACAATAACATTCTAGGTTCAAAGGTCATGAACTGAAGTTAAAGGTGACACCATGTTGGTTTAGAAGACCTACATATGCCCCCATAGTTTTGTTTACTCGCTTATTTTCTAAGCGATCTGTATTAATAATAGCACCAATTAAACACATTCTGCTAAAAATATTTCAACATCAGGTTTAATAAATATGTTAAGACTTGGTTTACCAGGTATGAAATATAAAGAAATTAAAAAAAAATCACCTGTATTAGCTGTTATACCACATAGGTAAGGCTAGAAAACAGGTAAATTAATCAGAAAGTTCTGTTCAAATGCACATAGGAAGCAATATATGCATATGACCTTAGAGGTCAAATAACCAATGGCCTACTCATCTACATATTTTTTCACTTTTCCGAAACTCCACAAGGTGTTAAATCGCAACTACATTAAGTATGTGCCTGCATACACTAAAAGAGAGCTCAGTTTTTCAAAAAATTGTTAACAAGCAAGCAATGGTTTATTTAAATGTAAAGACCCTCAATGTCTACTGACTTTTGTGCGCTATCCTAGTGGTACATTATGTTGCGACCAAACCTAACCTAAAAATGATACAACATAAATGGGTCATTAAGCGTTGTTCACACCATCAAATTTTCTTTGACAAAAAACTGTTGAATGACCATATATAGTCATGATGTGCTTATATATGGTCATGATATGATGTCATCATGACCATATTTAGGCATGTCACATGTTTTTTTGTCAAACACAATTTGATAGACTGGACAGGGCTTTATAGACGAGACACAAAGTTTACCTGCTTAAGAGCACCCTATAGCCTATCGGCTAATTGTATTGAAGATTCATATGCAAGCAAATTTTTTATATTCAATATAAATGGCATGACATACTAATCTGGCATGGCAAGATGCAAATTCAATTAAACTATAAGCTATTGTTTTCAGTAATTTTAAAGATAACTTTAATATCGACCAGATTGGAAATTTAAAGGGAGAGGGGTTTACAAGAATTTTGAATGTCAAATATTATCATGAAATAGGAGGGAGGGTGTTCGAGTGGTTTGCAAGATTTTTCAGAATCAAATAATCAAATTCAACAAATTATCATGAGAGAGGGAATGATTTACAAGAAATTTGAGTGGCAAATATTATCATGGGGAAGGGGAGAAAAGGGGTTTGAGGGAGTTTGAAAGCATCAAATACTCGTATGAAAAACGTTTGTAATAATTCTAGCAATTGAGGCATGTTGTGGCAAAAATTCAGAAATTCAGGTTATTGGTATTTTCAGATACCCGTGTATGTTATCTTTAAAATGAGGGGTCATTCATTGCAATTGGACATTTCAAGCCTAAGTTATTGGCAAGTGAATGTACAGCGCTCTTAGAGTCAAGATAAACATGATTTTGAGTAACTGCCTTCCAAAGTTATTTGTGCATATATTGTTTAATAGAATTACCTATCAAAATAATGTTAAACAAACAATTTGTTGACCATTTCTAGAATTAATACTTTGGGACATGATTAATCTGTTGACCTATAGTGAAAAATAATTTTAGATTTTTAGAAAGTTTTTTGAGCTCTCATATTTTATAGCTCATTTACTCAATACTGGCCGTGCAACAACACAACCATTTCAACACGACATGCCTCAATTACGTAAATCTGAAGTACAATATTTTAGAATGTCAGAAATAATCATGGTGATGGGGATGGTTTGCAAGAATTTTGAGGGTCAAATATAATTCTCTAAAATGGGAAGGGTTTACAAATTTGTAAGCATTATGTAAATCATGGGAGAAGTTTGCAAGAAATTTGAAAGTTAAATATTATGACGGAATGGGAGGGGTTTATACATATTTTTAACATCAAATATATTAATAAAAGAAGAATTTTTTTAGAATTTTAAGAATCAAATATAATCAGGGCCAGGTTGATCTACAATATTTGTCGGGTAAAAAAATCTTTCATGTTCACGGAATGTTAAAATAGTATAGTATCCTGTACAATATGCTTTTTGTGAATAAATCTATCGATTAAATCAACGGAACATATGGGTGGACACTAACTTAATGAAATATATACTGGCATCATTAGTTACAGCATTGTGGGCCAAGAAATCGTGTCTAATTAATTGCTCTTAGGTCGATAAACAGCTGCATTTGGGTCGAGCGAGGACCTCTGTGAGTTGGTAGCCTGTTTCGGGGTCTCATCTAGCTGTTGGCGAAAGGCTACCGAGTAGTGTGGTTTCGTTGGCGTGATTGGCGTGGTGGTGCATGGGTAGCTGCTCTGCGGCATGACGGCCATCACCTCAGCGATCTTGGTCTTCAGTTCATGAATGTCCTGATCTTTCTTTGACAATTGTGCTGAAATAATACAAATATTAAAAATAATGATACTAATAATAACAGTAAGACTACAAATACTATTTTTATGAATATGGTATGGATATGGATGATGATGATGTTGATGACAATGATGATTGTGATTCTGATGATGTTGAAATTGATGATGATAGCAATAACACCATTAATACTACTATTTATGATAATGAAAATAACACTACAGATATTAATAACAGCAACGATGATGATGAAGACAACACTAAATGATAATGACAATTATGACCAAAATGATAACAATAACATTTAATTACAATACTAATATACATTAATGAGGATGTCAATGATTACGATTAAAGATGATGATGATGATGATAATGAATTTAAATAACACTACTAAAATGTAACTACAGGATAACTACAGGCTACCCTCCAACACTCTTGGGACCAGGGCTTTCCTAGTCTTTAGCAGCTTTGGTTTTCGAATTAGAAAAGTATTAATCAAATAGATAAGGACACATGTTTATTTGGGCTGCAGAAATGTGGTCTTTAAATTGGAGGTGATCTCTAATTGGTGGGACTTTAATAGGAGGAAGACCAGTATTTACTTATGATGATGTAGACTGAAAACATTAATGTATCATGCACAATTCTAATACAATTCACATTAAAATATACCATGTATGAAAAAAATAATACACGAGAAGTTAGCATTGGTAACCAGTAAGACTGGCATTGAAATTTCATTTGTCCGATAACATAATATGTGTTTTGTTTACCTTGAGCTATCTCTAATTGACGTCTAGCCTCCCCTAGCGCTGAGAACAAATCTAGTTTTACACGTGTCTCTGCACTTAAACTGTTTTCAAGCTGTGTGTTCTTGTCCTGTATGGCGGCCAGTGCTGACATAAGTATCTCAGTCTTCTGTTGCTGCTCTGGTTTTTGTCGTAATCCCTGCAAGTTTAAGTTTAAAGCAACAATTACTTAAAGCCAGACTCGGCAGGAAAAACATTTTTTGATATGTTGTACAATTGATTTTTCTAAGGCACAAAAAGAATGTTTGTTAAAAAAACTTAATGAGATACAGATTTTTGAATATTTAAAAAATAGGGGAAAAAGATCGAAAAAGGGGTGGTCACACCACTTTTTTTTATAATTTCTGATACAGTACAGGTAGAATCTTTAATAATGGGAAGCCTTTGGGACCAAAAAAGTGTCCCTTTAATAGGCTTTGTCCCTTTAATAAGACTTGGCCGTAGTGCTAAAAGATAAACCTTCCCTTGTTTTATGGTCAAAAAAGTGTCCTTTTTAGGGGTGTCCCCTTAATAGGGGTGTCCTCTTAATAGGGGTGCCCTCTTAATAGTGTCCCAAAGGAATAATAATCATTTAGTAATCACTGTGTCATGTAAATGGTTATGGGATGACAGCTTTTACTATGCATGATACTCCACACTATAAAAATCTGACAATGGGCATCATTCAAGGAGACATTGCAACGAAAGGGACCCAAGGGCAGAGTCACTGTGATTATTGTTGTTTTAATAAGCATTCTGAACATCAACATATTATCCCTGTTGTTGATAGCCTACTAATATATATTTTTAGTAAATTCATATTTAAAACAGATTAATGTGTTGATTTAAGAAATTAAGACCTTAAAATTGTAAATAAACCAACAGGATATTCAACAATATTAATTGTTGATTTTTGTAACGAAATCGAAAGTATTTTTTTTGTAATGAATTTTAATGTATATTTGTATTGAATTTTAATGTCTGTCTACAAAATTTCAATTTCATTTGAATACTTTAATTTAGCGTCTGCTGCTAATGTATTGTTTATGTGAAGTGATTAATAATAAAGATACCGATACATATACAATATAAAAAAACTGACAATGGGCATGACATGACTCACTGGGACATTGCAACAAAAGGGATCCAAGGTAGAGTCACTGTAATTATTGTGGTTTTAATTTTTAAGCATTCTTAACATCAACATATTATCCCAAAGTTTACAATACTTATTGATGACAGGCTACTAATGTCTGCCAAATAAAATGTTAGTAAATTCATATTTTAATAATGTCGATTAAAGGAAATAAACTTAAAAATTTATATAAAACCAAGGTATAAGAATATGGGCCTACCTCTGCTTCCTTCTCCAAAGCTCGCACAGAGTCACATTTTCCTTTAAGTTCATCTTTAAACATTTTCAATTCTTTTTCCAATTCGCTTTGCCGAATCTTACAGCTGCCATTACATTCACTCATTCTGATACGAAAACAAAATAAATTATTATTATTACCAACAACAATAATAATAATAAAAAAATGATAACATAAAATGCTTGCTTTTCCGTAAATGCTTGAATAAGCGCTACTCTTGAATATACACCTCTCTCGAATATACGCCTCTCTCGAATAAGCACTGCACAAACAATGGGTTTTTTTTTGTTAAGTGCCACTCTCGAATAAGTGCTGCGGCACTAAATCGAGAATATATTACCCTGTGTGTAATAAAAAGGGTTTTAAATACAATGAATAAATAACATAATGAAGACAAGCATTTCTTTATAAACGTTTATTTACAATCACAGAACTACGATAGGCCTACTGAACTACAGGAATATATGAAATAGGTAACATGGGAACAGGCATGGAAAGTGCCACGCCAATATTTTCTTTATAAGTGCCGCTCTTGAATAAGCACCGCACTGAAGCCTCCAAAAATTTTATAAGCGTCGCTGTACTTATTTAAGCATTTACGGTACACCCTAAAACTAACTCAGTTCACATTTCTCTGCCACATGAAGTTGCCAGAGAAAAAATAGTAATTTAAAGACAGGTTTGGATAAAGCAAACTGTTCTGGTCACACATAAAGCTCTGTTCACCCATCCTATAAAATTTTAATGTCATGATGTGCCTATATCAATTTTGACATATCACTTGTTTTTGTCAAACAAAATTTAATATGACAGGGCTTAATATTTCAGCTCATGTTCATCCGAGGAGGTTTTTAAGATGTACCACGAGTGGCAAGCATACCTTACACGTGGCAAGTCTTACTAAATCAAGGTACTGGTATTTATAAAGCGCCTCTTCCTTGCGGTTATAAAGCGCAGTTCCTTTCCCTGGTCATTGGGTCCACATGCTTAAGTGTTGCTGCAACCCCACCAGGTACCTATTTATACTCTTGGGTGGAGTGAAGCAACACAGATAAAGTGCCTTGTTCAAGGACACAAGTGAAGTGCACAGCGAGGGATTGAAACCCCGACCTCCAGGTTGGGAAACCAAACCGTTCCACAATAATTGCTCATCAGAGTAAACTTAAATGATGATAAATTTCTTAAAAGGATTTGTTATGTAATGACACACACGCCTCTTTGAGACTTACCTTGCTGCATTAGCTGCTGCCATGGCGATTGCACGAGAAGCTGCGGCTTCCTCAGCTCGCTTGCTCTTACGTTCTTCTTTAAGCTGATTTTCAACGGCAGTTCGACTAGCCATCTCTGCTTTCCACTTCTGTTCTAATTTACCAAGGGTCAGTTTGTCTTGTTGTTTTTGAGTGACAAGATTATGTAACCTTTAGATATAAAAAAACAACAAGTTTAAAAATCACAACCTGAAGTATATTATCCTTGAATTTATTAACATATAATTTAGCCATGTATATAAAGTTTTCCATCTATTACATAACACTTCTGAACTCTGGTTCAGATGTGGAGGCACTCAGCTGTATTGACTGCTTGATGATACAGTAACATCTCCCAATTACGTACCCAGAACAGAGTTCGTAATTGAGAAACAAAACAAATAAACCAACATTTACTGTACAGTAGGTTTGAGACTATGGATTAAAGCGCTATATAAATACACAAAGGCGAGTCAAATGGCCGAGCAGTTACGTCAGGGACACCGAAACCTACGGCCATAATATTGGCGCTGGTTCGAACGCCATGTTCGCCTATGTTTCTGGAGGTGGAACAAGTCTTCTTGAAAAAGGATTATAAACTGTAGGCCCAGTATACACATTGGCTCATGTGCACTCTAAAGAACCCAGTACATCTTTCGAGACGAGTAGGGGGGGGGGGGATTTTATCCCGGTGTACTGGTCCATGCAGCCCCCTGTTGTGAACAGACAGTTGGTATCGGTTTACCGAGTAGCTCAGACATGAAGGGACCCTTAGGGAAGAAGAAAGTTACAGTACGAGCTAGTCCACACCTCGAGTCCGGTATAAAGCGCTATATAAATTGAACTACGTTACATTACTATATATACTTACTTTGTCTGTAACTGCTCATTATCTTTTTTTATTTGATCTATCTCAGACATAATGACTTCTTCTTGTGCCGTTAATGATTTGACTACAGCTTTTAATTCGACCTCATTCTGACGGCTACCCTGCAATTCTGCTTTCAACCTTTTAATATCCATTTCATACCTGTCGTTAATATCAAAAATAAATAAATAATGTTTTTCTTTCTACTGTATGACTATATTCTATTATGACAACCAACTTACTTGATTTCATAGTTTGGATGCAAATGCGAAGACTGTCAATGCACTGTGAATTTGAAATGCTTAAAACAATCATTAATACAGTACTGTAAAGCCCTTTTTTCGTGTGCCTTTAACCTTTGCAATTTTCGCAATAAAACGCGAAAGGATAAGGGCGGGCAAAAATCGCGAATTTCTGAAAGCTACTTGTGTCTTCAAAAGCAAGGCTAGGCCATACCCATTTATAGCTAATATAAAACTGATATTCCCTCAATAAAGACTTAGTGGAAACATTCTTGCTTCTTTGCGCAGTATTTTTCAATCATTATTATATTATATATTATTATACAGTATTAGGTTATTTATATAGAGCCTTTCTTCGCAGATACAAAGCGCTTCAGTTCCTGGTCATTGGGTCCACATGCTTAAGTGTTGCTGCTGTAGTCAGCGCAGGAGCAGGCAACCTCACCAGGTCACCCATTTATACTCCTGGGTGTGGAGAGAAACAATGCAGATAAAGTGCCTTGCTCAAGGACACAAGCCAAATGCTCAGAGAGGATTGAAACCCCGACCGCAAGGTTGGGAAACCAAACCTTTCACGCGGCACAAAACCGCTTCTACAAAATCATTCAATCACATTTTAAAAGTTAAATGCAGTACAGTATATACATTATAAATGACTAACGTCATATTACTATTCTGGAAATAAGCTGTCTTGGTTAGGCCAGTACATCACACTTAACACAGCCAGAGTAAAGTGGTACTAGTGGTTCCTAGCTGAGTCTATACCTAGGCCTACCTTAAGGCTCATGAATCTAGTAGAACATTTCTGCAAAAATTGTAATATGGTATTTGCTTGGAAAAAGTTTGAAGATCCAACCTGGCTTAGTTTAGAGTCAAATTCTGTACAAAATCCAAGGAAAACAGGGGCATAATAAAGCAAAGAAATTAGAACAAAAATACAGGATTTTCTGCAGTTACTTAGTGGAAAGGCCAAATAAAAAAAAAATACAATATAGTAACAGTAATATTAAGAAGTTCATAGGGCATTATTTAATCTAAATCTCTTTTTAATTATTTTATGACTGTTTAAATTTTATATTTTTCTTCCCTATATTATATGTTAATTTATATACTTTATCGTATTGTTGTTGGCCAGGGGTTTAGAAATGACCATTTGATGTATTGGGCTTTAGTCTGTGTCATCTCTAGTCGCACCTCTGGTCAATATATATTTATATATATTGTAACAAATTTTTAATAAATAAATAAATAAAAATAATAAATCTAAATTCCAATGTCTATTTACAATTTTGTATACCGATCTACTAAATTATGGAATAAACTCCTGGATCATACTAAAACCAACTTTAAATCTATGACACTTTCAAATTTCAAGCATTCTATTTCTAATCCTCAATAACACCATCTTAATTTAACCTGATTTTCTCTTACCTTGCATATCCATATTTATTATTTAAATTTTTTATTTTTCTTTTTAAGTTTCTTTCAATGTTCCTTTTAAATCTATTTTAATTTGTCGTTAAGTTATCCATCTTTTTTGGTTACCATATGTATATATCTGCTTTTAAAATTTTGTAGTTAAGAACTGAAGCACTTTGGAAACCAGTACTATGTATTGAAAGTGTATATTCAGTATAAAGAAAGAATAAATAAATAATAACTAAGTATAGCCATACTATCATCGACATCCTCCGCGCATCATCAGGAAGCATCAATAGTCATGCAGCACAAAAATTATCATGTTAAGGTGGGAACTTACTGCGCCCCAGACAGTCATCGGTAAGCGCGATTCAACGAAGAATGCAGTGGAATGACGAGCGTGCAACGGATCGTTTTGTCTAGCGCTTACAGGGAGCAAAGTTGGATTTGTAGTACGGCAGTCGTACGATCGTCATAAGATGCAGCAAGTGCCCAGCTTTAGGTTATTATTACTTTACCTTGCAGATTTTTCATCTTTTGAAACTGAAGTTGCTGTTCCATTAGATATTTGCATATCCGATGTCACATTCATCTCCTTTTCTTTCTCTTTATTTTCCACTTTACTTGAATATTGTTTGCCTTTCTTACTGCTTCCTTGCGTATCTTTTGTATGTTCTCTACTTGCTGTACCACTCCTTTGACGGCCTACGCCGTTTGACGTACTGTGTTTATTATTTTTCGCTAGTGTTTGCTCATTCACTAGGTTTTCTGTTGTTCCTTCATAGCT